GTGAAAATGTAATTAAAAAGATAATATCTTCCTCTACTGGAGTCATCTACTGAATACTGAATATTATAGGTGTGTTAATGTCTAAAGTAAAGCCTGACTCATGAACATTTAATATGAATGGAGAAATACATATTTTTCCTGATGACAGATAGCTCGCCACGCGTCAATCCCATTTGCTCTGTTGGAATCAATAACTATCTCCATTTATTTAAGATGTTAGTTATAAAGGTTGACTGCGCTCACCAAACAGGGAAGCAGAGATTGATTTTCAGAGTATAAACCTTGTCGAATTTATTCAAGCTTTCACGGTGCTCCTCAAGGTATGACCCGATATTTGTGTTAATTAGGAGCGCTTGCTTTATACTTCATGTTCACACTGGTTTATGCATGTGATAAAGATTTCATAACATCAGCGCCTGCCAGGGTTCACTTCAGACTGCAATAAAGAGCTTTCAACATCACCAAAGAATAAGTGCATATATATATCTATATATATGTATATAGACCCATCCTGTTTATCTGCTAACATCCCTTTGTCTACCTGTCTCAGTCTAAATACGCTCATGATATTCATCAACGCAAAGTTCACTGAAGCTGAACCTGTGCAGACGATGGTGTATTATGCGAGGCATTTCAAAACAAGACTAAAGTGTCCCTCCAGTGGTCCCTATAAGGCGCTAGGTAATTCATTATACAACTGAATGATGACAATTTTTTGCCTCTCCCGGCTTTCAGCTCAAGCCTGCTGCTGCTCTCTCATAGTCGTTCTCGGCATTGCAACCTGTATCCGATGCCCCCTTGACATTATGGCGGTGTACTTAAGCTATCAGTGATCTGCTCTTGCCAGCCGCCACACTGCCCACCTGAAAGCTATGCTGCAACAGGTGCAATCTCTTGCTGCTATTTTTGCTGCTGTCCATAAAGCATTTCATAAGCACAACGTGAGTCTATATTCCCCAAGGAGGGGAAGTTATTATCCCTGCTGTGCCGTGCTTGGTGTTTCCTTGTGAGGAGTGATGAAATCAGAGCCTGAACGCCGAGTATCATCTCTGCACATATTCACATAACGATCCACTGTGAGAGCTGACTGACTGATGTTACAGTAGGTAATTAGTTCAGATTTATTTTGAGACAGAGGTCTACACAATCATAAATAATATTTCAAATATCACCATGTAAACCTATAAAGCCTCTGAGAAATTTGTATCTCTAACATGGAACGAAATATCCTGCATTGGACATTTCTTAAAACAGCTTAATAAGAAGTCGTGTGCCCCTCTTATAAAGCAATGGAAAGTAACAACGAAGGTGTTGGGGATAAGGCTGCAACTAATGGTTATTTTCATTTTCATTTGTCAGTTATTTTCTTGATTATTCAATTAGTTGTGTGGTCTGTAAAATATCAGAAAATGGTCAAGAGCTGCCAGTGTTTCCCAAAGCCTGAAATGACATCCTCAAATGACTTGTTTCTTCCAAAAACCAAAGATATTCAGTTTACCATTGTAAAGGGAGTAAAGAAGCCAGAAAGTCTTCACATTTAAAGGCCCAGTGTGTAGGATTTAGGGGGAAATACTGGCAGAAATGGAATATAATATAATATATGAAGCATGTTTTCTTTAGTGTATAATCACCTACAAATAATAAAAAATAAGAATTGATTCTCACGACCTTGTCACATATCAATGTTTGGTCATGGACCTTCCAAGTCCAGATACAAAACGTATGTCAAAGGACGTTCTGTGACACCATGTCAACTTCAGCCTGTTGTCTTCTTCTTTTAAAATACACCTCTGTTTTCACAGGACATGTACAGTTTGCATACAGTCTCTTTATATACCCACTATGTTGGTACAACACTGAATTGACGTTTTGTTTTTCTACTTCAACAACAAAAGCACGTGGTTAGGTTTAGGAAAAAAAACAGGTTTTGGTTCTGTAGTCTTTCAGGAAGCAAACACTGCTCTCCCAGGTAAAAGTCGGTGGTTGTTGGACCCATCCACCACCCCTCCTTTCTGCCCCGTCAGACTTTCGCCACCTTAACTTTTGTTCTTGTCCTGCCGCTGCCAAGGAACATTAAACTATATCAGCGACTGGCCATACATCATGCCAAAATTAAAGGACGGCTTTTTCCGTTGGTGTCTGACGCTGCAAGTCGTTGCCCAAGTGTTGGATTTCGATGACTTCGGAGTGAGACCAGGTTGTTCTGGCCTCATATTGACGTCTGTTGCCAGCTGAGTGCTCCAAAGAGCACTGCTGCAAAAAACACTGAAGGAATCCTAACCGGGAGTTCACCCTTGGCACACAGGAAGTTTAATCTGGTTGCAATCTGCGATCTTCACTGCTACTGTAGATGCCACTGAAGCCTTCACACTGCTTCTTCAGGAATCTCGATCTCGATCTTAAAACATTACTCAAACTTAAATGATCAATGATTTAACTAGTTGGTGATTAATCTAATAGTTGACAACTAATCAATTAATCTGTGTAATCTTTAAAAATATTGACTTAAGAAAATGTGGTTTGCCAATCTTTTCTTGTACATTTGTCAAAATTGGACATTTTTAGGCTTTCAGAATGAAACAGGTTAATAGTGAAGCTTTATCATCTGAAAATGCTTACTGAAGACAAAAAAAATAATGTGTTAATGTGTGGCCGCATTATTCCACATTTTCTCAACTTAGCTGTGGTGCATCACGTTAATATACCACCATTTACAATAAAAAATAATACCAACACTGATTATTTTGGACATTAATATCTTTTCTTTTTTATTAAGACAAGAACTCTTCATTGTTTTGTAAAAATGTCTATTTATGAACCAATACAAAATGTGTATGGGAATGTGGAACTCCTTTCCTCCATTGATACACATTAACATTTCCCAAGAACAGCAGAGAGACAAAAAGAATCAATCTAAAAACAATGACTGGTGACACAATCAAAACTTTTTCGGGAATCAAACGAGCTTCCGAAGGCGGAGGTGTGTTGAAAGTGACAGTAGTAGTAGTAGTACAGCCACAACACGTTTATAATCCTGCTTCATTCCAATAAACAGTGTACTCTTTATGACCTATGTCAACACAAAGCAATACTTAACACATCTTTTACAATGCACCAAATATTAAGAAAAATACAGAAAACATGTACAACATATATGCAAAATACCACCAATTTTGCCTCTTGGGTCTAAAATAATGTGTTGTTGATTCGATGAGGATGCATTGTACTTGCTTCTATGTCATTGGTGGGGCCTAAACTTTGCATTCTACCTGAGATGCAGTCACATCGGTCAGCAACGCATGAACCAGAGACAGGACATTATCAAAAGAATTTAATGTGGAGAAAACTACACCAGTTACACTGTAAGACCATTTTTTACTTTACTGGGCATTTAATAGAAAATAAAATGATACATACAGTAACCTTACATATCATTCTGCTATTTATTTCAAATTGAATCCTCATCATTTCTCTTAAAAACTACTTGAATGTTATGTTTATGTTTTGCTCATGGTGCTTTTTGTATTGGAACTTTGGGAGAGCAGAGTTATTGTAGGTAAAACATTTGGAGAAACACTCCGGCCGTTCCAACACACAAAGGATTTAATATGCACAAATAAAATATTAATGCATCAGCCTTAAGGGAGAAGACAATATTCAGTTCTATTCCTTTATTGGCAAGTACATATTTTGAAGTCTGATTTAAATGGAAGCTGCCACATGTCACTGAAGCGAAATAGTGCTCACTGTAAAATACAAATCACACAATCTCAGTCTTGCAGATGAGGCGGCATCTGCTCTGTGATTCATAAAGCAACAATAACAAGTCAGTTAATAGTTTTATCAGACACCAGACTGTAAAACATCGAACCTAATCAGAACCCGTCCCCGCCCCCACCCGTCCATGTAACAAACACAAAACAGTGTCATCAGCATACAGTGTTAACTTAGTGGTAATTCCTTTGTGAGTACAGAACTTTTTAAATTAACTCAAGTTTTAACAGATGGAGAGAGTTGGACACGGCACGTTTGATCTTTGTCTGCAACATCACTCCTGTAGCCCCCATCTCCGACTGACACATCCAATGGAAAAGCTAAAAATATGTCCACAGCTTGCACCCACTCTTCTAAAAACTGCAGAAAAAATATTCAGTGACTTTTAAAATGCACAGATGCATTATGCTCAGGAGGTTAACATTTGCGTAATGCACTTCACAAGAACCTTCTCCACTCCCTTTGAACGACCCCCCAAAACCACAATCTCCATATGGAAAGACTGAATGCTGTCTTCATGCATGACGATGATATATTAAAGCTATCATATTGTTTATGTGTTGCAATCTGAGCTGCACATTAAGAAAGTCCAATCAAAGGTGTTAACATGGCAATAAAGGACTGAATCTTGGATATGAGTGTCCACACAGCAAGCAACACCAGTCTCAACAGCGTCTAGTGAGATAATAATAAAAAGTGAGTACGTTTCATCATTAGATATGATTGATATTAATATATCTAGGGCTGCCACCTAATAGTCGACCAAACTTTAGTTGACCAGAAAGGTCATTAGTCGGCAAGATATCAGTCACAGAAAACAACAACAACAAAAAAGACTGGACCATGTGGGAAGTGTCCACGCTCAGCAGTCAGACAGGAATCAGGTTAATTTCCAGGGCTGGTACCTGCAGTTATTCCACAGGCTAGTTAATAACATGTCGGGCAGGAAATCCAAAGTGTGGGATCATTTTGAGAAGGTGAAGGACGAACCCAAGGTGATATGTAAACTCATCTTCATTGGTCGACTACAAACATGACGTATCATCTGAAACATGGAAGTAGCTACATGCCCATTAGCCCACAGCGTCATTAACAGACGGCTCGCTCAATGTGTGACGTGCACTTGTAGATAAAATATAGGCCTATATTAATGAAGGTTCATTAGTACGCTTTTGTATTTCTCTGTAATGTAGCACAGTGTTAACAATGTTACTGATACTATTCTTTCTCAAACCTTCAACTCAAACCATTGTGTGGCCCCGCCAAAAACATATAATTTAATAAATAAATTAATATCATCAACTTGCGGGTGACTTGTCGACTCATGGCCCTAAATGACGACTATCGGTTGACTCAGCAGATTCTTAGTCGGGGGCAGCCCTAAAATATATATATATATATATAAAAAAACAGTATCACTACAATACATGACACCTATGTATTTCTGATATGCAATGTTTAAACTCAATGAAATTTTATTTCTGAATCTCAAAAAATGTATTTTGTCACATCATGATGTATTTTTTTTAAAGGATGCAAACACTGCAAGTTTTGATTTTTTTTGTAATGAAATGTTTTTTTTTTACTTAACAAGTTGCCATCATCAGGCAATTAATTGAAATTTTGTTCTGTATTCATTTGATATGGTTTATGTTTGTCCAATTGATTCTAGCTCTTAAACTTTAGAACGTCACTTTAAAAAAAACTGAATAAATAAATTCCTTGAAAAAACACTTCATTCTAAGTTTATAATTTGTGATGATAAAATGTTCAAAATTATGTGATATCATGACATTCAATGCCTGCTCAAAGCTTTAAAGGTGTACGCTACAACCAAGACCTCCACCTCAATCCACCCACAGCTGTCATATAAAGTACGGACTCATTAGGTGAGCTGCTTGCTGTGTGAACACATAATTAGGACAATCAATGCCACAGACAGACCCTCATCGCCATGTTAAAAAGCCAGGGCGTTAATGTAACCCTTGGATTACGACCACGGAGCACAACGTGTGCATTAAGTTCAGGTACACACAACTAATTACTTTTGGCATTCGTCAGTGCTCCCCAGCTGGCACAGCCAAACAGATCCTCATTCAGTTTTGGCAGGTGACAGAAAAAGCAAGATAGAGAAGCAAAAGAGAAAATGAGTTTCAGCACGTACACACATGCAGAAAAACTATCAATTGTTTACGCATTCAAGCTGCGGCATCGAAGCAAAGTATATATTTGGAAGGTGTGATGGAAGTGGAAAGACTGGCCTGTCTCTCAGAGCATTTCAGTTTGAAGACTCTCCCAAACATTTGCTTGTTTTACATTTCGACAAAACTCACAATGAGCGTGACACAATAAAATCCACAAAGGTACTCCATTGTAATTCTAGTAAGTTGTAAAAAATATTTCTTAGTAAGGATTAGTGTACAATACAGCTGTGATTCCATTGGCTTGATTTACATTGGATTGTGTGTCTATATGAGATAACATGAGCCCGCTGTAGGGAAGGACGTTTTGTGCAGCTTATGTGTTCCTAAAATAAATTTGAATGCGTTTGGAGCTTGGTTAAGGCTGTTTCTCTTTTTCGGTGAAGTTATGTACAGTACACCAGCATCTTTTGGCTGCCGGGTGGTCTTATATTAATACCAAATATTTTTTCAACAGCCTTTTATTACTGAGGCATCTTGACTGAGAGTCTGCCAAAAAAAAAAAAAAAAAAAAAATTAAAACAATTTACATTTTCTTACTTGGCCATTTGTAAGAAAAATATTTTAGAGTGAGAGCAGATGGAAATCAATTGAATCTCATCATTGCAACTCAATAAAAGCTGGTGGGGAAAACAGGGCTTCCATTCAGACAAATAGAAGAAAAATATTACAGAACAGAGGAAGAAATCAAAATAATGAAATGGCAGCGCAGTGGGGGAAAATAATGTACTACTTCTCTTTACTAAGAAAGGTAATTGTTTAAGAGGCAGTAGTAAATCTGCTCTGAAGACCAAACTGAGGTTGCAGAACATGAATTTAAAAACTGAATTGGCCTGATAAAATCATTTCATGTTATCCTTTGCTGCCTTCTTTTTGATTATGTTCTGAATGTGGTTGTGTTCAGGAGGGGGCAGGGAGAGCATATACAGTACATCAAACCTGTTTCTCATTTATGTCCTTTGTACAATGATATGTAAAGCATTCCATGCATTTTTGGAGCTGTCGAAACTTCAGGGGGAAAGAAAAACAGAGGGAAGTAATGGCTTGAGACAAATCACAGTATACTGGAAAGAGTTTTTGTTATGCAGTAGAGGACGCATGTGTGCAGACACATTTAGGGAAATGAATAAAGTGGCTGTGTAATTTTACCCTCATACAAAAGCCAACAGCACATTGATAATTACGAGTGGGGAAAGATGAAACAGGAAAAAAGGAGGTGGGGGGAGCAACAGGGTTATGCAAATGAGGATCAACACAAATCCAAAGTATGGATAGAACAAGGCACAGAATTTTCTGCAAATGGTTGAACTAAATAAAATTCGTACCAGCAGTTAGGGAGGTGTCGAAATGGTGAAGCTCTCTACAGTGATTTCTGGCAACGTCTGGCGCACCCTCCCCGCCCCCAACCCCATCCCCTTCTCAATTTACCGAAAACCCAACCCCCTCCCATTTTTTGTCCTTTTTTGATTTTTTTTTTTTTTTTTTTTACACACAAAACATTCCATCTATATCTGCAGACTAGACTAAACAACGGCTTAAAACCAGGCCTTTCTTTAAAACCCCGTCTCTCCTCTACTCCTCGACCCCTCTACTCTCACTAAAAGTGATCCTGAACCAACACAAATCCTTCCATCTGCCCCCCCTCTCCCCCTGCCCCGGCCCCAAAAACAGCTCCCTGTCCCAAAGAGGACACTGGAGTGAGGGGTCCTGCTTTGATTAGATGTAGTACTCTTTCTTTTCGTCCGAGTTGGTGTGGCCACCCTCTGCGTTGATGATGGCTGTATCTGCGTCCGCTGCGTCGTCTGCTCCTTTGGCTTCGTGTGTGAAGTAGGTACCTGAGGAGGAGGGAGGATGAAGGACAGTGTCACGGACTGGGTAATAGCCTGCTGCGTAGATGATACAAAAGATTAAAATGTGCCTCTACATCCCACCGCACCTAATTATGTAAATCCTTCTCAGTGTGGCCATTTACACAAACCTAACACCGGCAAGCTGTAATATTCAGATTATACATCATTTTCCCTCTTTTTCATTCAAATTGGCACATGAAAATCTGGGTTTTGAAATGATCTCGAGTGTGGGGAAGAGCACAGCTCACACCTTCAAATTAACCTTGTCAAGTTCGGGGTGGGGGGGGTTCTACCGAGCCCCTTCAAACTTCATTTACAAGATTTATTCACATCTATCACAGTCGAGGTTTATAACAGGCAATATTCCAGGTGTGCTTCAACTGTGGAAATAAAAGCACAAATGCTGCTCGAAGAGATGGAAACAAGGTGTTCATTATTGTTGCACCGCAAAGATGGTGACAGGGATGTGTTAAGATTGCACCTAATAATAAAAAGCTGAATCCTGTTTTTTTTCCCTTTAGGTGTTTTCGTTCTCCCGTCAGCCATTATAGTCAGAAGCCCTTTGGCAAACAGCAGCATCAGAAAGACACTGATCTTTAATGTGAGACTGTTTTAGTCAGTGTTTAAATCACCCAATCGGTTTATTTTGGAGAGGAAGACACCTCTACGGATAATTCGGCTCCCGGTAAAAAAACCCTGAACATCTGGATCTTAATTTGCAGCGATAAAAGGAGAGCACACATTTGCAGGTGCTGAGCTAGCGCCCCCTTCTGATACATGCCGAACAGCATCAGAGAAAACTGCTTTATTGAGTGTTTTTACCAATTCTAATCACCTTGATTTGGAGAGGAGGAGACCTCTGCGGATAATTTGGCTCCTGGTTAAAACTTCCTGAACAATGAACACTGAAGGAATCCTAACTGGGAGGTCACGCTTGGCACACAGGAAGTTTAAACTGCTTGCAATCTGCGATTCACACCACTAGATGTCACTGAAGCCCACACACTGCTCCTTCAAGAAGCTTAATGCAGAGAATTTTAGACTAAAAGTTGACTTGTAAATGTAGTTTATCTTTTAAATCTGTCAAAATTGGACATTTTTAGGCTTTCAGAATGAAACAGGTAAATACAGTCAGGTTTTATTCAGTGTTTATACCAGTTTTAGATTTATTTTGGAGAGGAAGAGACCTCTGAATAATTCGGCTCCCGGTAAAAACTTCCTGAATATCTGAATCAGAAATAAGGTGTGCACCGCTAGGCAAGTGGCTTGTTTCCAACATGCCAAACAGTTTCACAGGAACACTAATTTGTAATGTAAAACTGTTTTATTTAGTGTTATCACTGGTTTAAATCACTTGGTCTGTTTGTTTTGGAGAGGAAGAGACCCTTGCGGATAATTCGGCTCCCAATAAATACCTCCTGAACATCTGGATCTTCAATTATCAGATGAAAAAAAGGTGAGCACGCATTAGCAGGTGCTGGGCTGGCGGCCTGAGAGGAAGAGACCTCTGTGGATAATGCGGCTTCCAGTAAAAACCTCCTGAATGGCTGATTCAGAAATGAGATGTGCAGACATAAGCAGGTGCTAGGTGAGCGACTTGTTCCCGACATGTATCAGAGAAACATTAATTTGTAATGTTAAACTGCTTTATTCAGTGTGTTTATGAGTTTAAATCACCAGGGGCCTCATGTACAAAGGGTGTGTACGCACAAAAACGTGGCGTACGTCCTTTTCCATGGCAAAGTTCAGATGTATCAAGAGTGAAATGACCGTGGAAATGTGCGGTGCCTCACGCCAACTTCATGGCTGGCGTACGCACGTTTCTACAGCTGTTGATCCTTTGGCGACACTTAAAGGTGATGCTGGAAAACTGTTATAATAAATAAATGTGAAAACAGTCCTCTGAGTGATGTGCACATCAGAGAAACATGAACAATTAACACTGATGAACAATTAACACACCCATGTGTCTGAAATTAGATGAGTGGATATAAAAGCATGTGCAAAGTGGTGCCGAAAATACTGTTAACAACAACGGCTGCTTTAGCAGTAGTAGAAGATTTGTAAATGGCGCAATACGAAGAGAGCGTGTGTTCAGAGACAGATGGCACTGGCACATGATAACAACTGGCTCATCAGCTGCTTTAGGTTCCCGAGGGCAATCCTCCTGGAACTGTGCGCAGAGCTGCAGCCGGCAGCGCGACACGGCGAGGAGCCATGCGCTGCCTGTGTCCATACAGGTTCTGACCACACTGGGGTTCCTAGCAACAGGGGCATTCCAGAGGGAGCTGGCCGACCGATCGGGACTGTGCCAGTCGACCCTGAGCTGAGCCATGCCAGCTGTGTGGGACGGAATTATCCGCATGTCAGCCAGGTATATTAAATTCCCATACAATGCAGCTGAACAGGCCAACATTAAAGCGCAATTTGCAGCGTCAGCCAGTTTTCCTAATGTTATCGGAGCTATCGACTGCACACACATGGCTACAGTATAAAAGCACCATCACAGGATGAATTTGTTTATGTCAACAGGAAGCATTTTCATTCGATCAATGTACAGATCATATGTGATGCACAAATGCAATTAATCAACATTGTAGCGAGGTGGCCCGGTTCAACGCAAGATTCATACATTCTGAGTAACAGCATGGTTGGGAACAGACTACTAGCTGGCACTGTGCGCAATGGGTGCCTTCTTGGTGAGTAAATAATTTATTTGTTTAATTGTCCTAATATTAATCCCCCTGATGCGCATTGAACATGTGCACCCCCAAATATTATCCTGTCTTCACAGCATCAGTACTAGTCAGTGGTCAGTAGTTAAACTACAGCTTCAGAGCTTTCTAACAAGTCCCTGATTGTCTCTGTGTGTAAAGTACTCATGTCAATAAACCCGTGCGTAAAGTGTGACATTTTCTTAATCAGCCACACCTTTTCCCCGGCGCACTTCTGCATTAATTTACAACAATATTGTGTGATCCGTGTAAGAGGTGTATAAAATTAACAAATATAAACTGTAAATCCAGTTCACATAATTATTTGTCTGCTTTCAACTGACCCCAGGTGACTCAATGTTCAAACGGGGTGAGCTCCTCCTCTCCTGTCCCCCCCGCCTGTTTTGGCCACACTTTGGCGGTGGGCAGCCCTCCTCCGCTTCATGTCCACCTTAATGTCAGACCACTTCTTTTTTAATTCTGCGTGTGTACGCTTTTCTGTCCCCACAGCATTGACAGCCTCACACACACTCTCCCACTCACTCCGCTTACATTTAGTATTGATGCCAGAGGACAGAGTGCCAAAAAGTACATTTTTGCGCGCCTCCACTTCAGTGAGTAGCATCTCCAATTCGCATTCTGTGAAGTTTTTCTTTTTCCCCGTCTTACGCATTCTTTTGTTATAGTTTTCTGATGGTGCAGAGAGGGGAATCTCAAATGCAGGGTTCATTTAAATATGATTTGCATATTTAAATAGGGGCGTGAACAGGGAGGGGCCGGGTACTCCAACATGTGCGCTCAATTCCACGTTGATTGGGATGTACAAAGGAAATGTGCTTGGATTCATGTGTATGCACAGATTCATACATCTGGATATTTTTGTGTGTACGATGTTTTCTGGATTTAAGCGTATGCCATGTTTCAGTAGGAAATCCACGCAAGTCTTTGTACATGAGGCCCCTGGTCTGTTTGTTTTGGAGAAGAGGAGACCTCTGCGGATAATTCGGCTCCCTTTAAAACCTCCTGAACAATGAACACTGAAGGAATCCTAACCGGGAGTTCACACTTGGCACATGGGTTTTAGCTGGTTGAAAGCTGCAGTCCTCACCATTAAATGCCACTAAATCCTAGCACAGTATTTCTTTAACATCAGGTTTATATGACAATTAAAAGAAAAAGTAATCAATCACACATTTTTACTTCCTCTTGTGCAGCCATGATCCAATATCTGATACACTCTTATCTGAGACTTTTGGTAAGGACGCCTCAGTTCAGATCAGAATAATGCTGTAATCCGCCCCCGTTGCCAGTTAATACAACCCCACTCCTACGTTTGTTCTCATGGTTATGGGTCGCTTCAGGTAAGTGTTTTGTTGAGTAATTATTATGGAAAGTTTCAGACAGAGGCAGTTAAAAGTCGCCGTTAACATCCTGAAATTCTGATGAATAATTTTCCTGAGTGACCTCCCCTGGCTCCTGTCTCACATCTCAACATCTCTGTGCATACATGGAGCCACCTGAAGAAGGCAAAAAATAAATTAATCTCTCTTTTGTCTCTTTGTTATCATCATTATTCTGTCATGAATATTCATATCTGGCATCCAATGCACTTTAAACAGCTTACAACTTGCACCATCCACAATGACATTAGTCAAAGTGGGCTCCTTGTGACTTGTTTATTGCATTTTATTCTGCTATTTATTATTAAAAATATTAACAGCCTGATAGAAACACAGGCATCGTGACTACGACTCAGAGGTGAGCATTCAAGGATGATTCCAGTTTATAACAGCTTGTGTCTCACTTTGTAGTTTCCTATAAGTTATGAGAACATCACTAAAGTGAAATAGAAGGACAGTTCATTCAGATTACAGGAAAGGAGTTTAAAATATTGTTTTATTCTAATGAGTTTCATATTCACATAGAGGCGAATTTATAATGAATGGATTGCGCCAACCTTAAATTCAGATTACTTGCAACTACTATTCCACCAAATGAGCTCAGGATTCTTGAACTTCAGTGCTATAAACACATTCTCACGTTGCCCTTGTCACATATTGACGTTTGGTCATGGACTTTCCACGGTGAGATATGACATGCAAGGAACCCGGGGTGTGTCGGCTGTTGACATTCTGGGACGCCGTGTCAACTTCAGCCTGTTACATGCATTGTGTGTTTTGAAAATACACTTCCGTTTTCACAGGAAATGTATTGTTTGCATATAGTCTCTTTCAAAATAAACACACTACGTCGGTACAACATTGCATATTGACGTTTTTTTCATCAACATCAAAAGCACATAGTTGGGTTGAGGACAAAAGAACAGGGTTTGGCTTTACAATCATACCAGAAGTGAACACAAGCCTCCCGAGTTAAAGTCAATGTTTGTTGGACCCATCCACCACCCTTCTGGGACTTCTGCTGCATTAATTTTCGTTTTTGTCCCTCTGCGCTTCCTCCTGAGGCTGCCGGGCGCCGTTAAACAATAACGGCGACTGGCCACGTATCATGCCAGCGTGAAAGGATGGCTTTTTTTTGTCGGTGTCTTGACGCTGGAAGTCACCGACCAAGTGCTGGATTTTTACGACTTCAGGGTGAGGCCGCGTTGGATAAAAACCCCTGGAAAACAAAAGGATCCTAAGATATCACCAAAAAAAAAGGTGCTCACACATTAACAGGTGTTTGGTTAGTGGCCCGACTGTAACAAGCCAAAAAGCATCAGAGAAACAACTGGAGGAATGAGACTGGGTTGGTGCTATCTAGAGAATCTGCCCACATTTCTACCACTTTTGATCAGAACCAGTGTAATCAAGAATGTGTCACTGACAGGAGGTGTTTCAGTAGTACTTTAGTAGTAGCAAACTTTTGTTGAGTTACTCCGATTCTCATACTCCGATATTTGTTTTTATCCAAAAAACAAGCATGATCAAACAATTATGAGACCATGCACGTTCTTTTTTGTCTGACGATTTCTCCATCCTCTCTTTCCAACCTGTAGAATATGACACACCCACTGATGTCATCATGGTTGGCACCTTAGGTCAAGGACAATCTGCTATATCTTGGTTCCAGATGTCACGAAACTTTTCAGGTTCCAAACAAATTTATTTTTGGTTAAAATGTTCTGAAGGACTCAAAATTAGGTTTCATGTTAGTAGAAAAGGGGTATAGTTGCCCTGTCTCGAGGCCTGATTCACAAGTAAATAAACACTGACCAACGGGACCAGACTGGCCGACCCGTATGCTCTCACTCAGTGGATGGATGATGTCACAGGAAGCCAATCTTACAAAGGAGGACGACACTTGAACAGTTTCCTCCAGTTTGTTTTGCTATCAAAGCTAACGTTAGCTAGTGTGCTAAAAAGTTAGCGTTCCAGAGAAATCCAATATTCCTCTTAATCCCTCCCCAGTTTCTGATGAGGTGGACATGATAACCCTTAATACACATAATGTTATTCATCCCTAAAACAGGAAATACTTTTTCCCTAAACTGATATGAAGTGTGCGCTGCACATGTGAGCATTTTTGATGATGGCCTCCTTCCAGTCCTTTGGTCTTATCACATTTAACCGTACTTGTCTTTGTTTTTGTTGACGGGCAGTGGCGGCTGGTTTTGAGCCATGACTCCTTCTATTCTGGCTCCCAATAACACAACAAAGTGATATTTTAAGACTCCTATGTAGCCTACAGCTGTTCTATCAGCTGATCACAGTTAACCAATAGAACAGTGACACACCTTCATTGTTAGTCTATCATCTTGCCGCTGTCTTTTAAAATATGATTCTCTTTCTGCCTTTAGTACGTTCATGCTGCAGTTTTGTGCACCCTCCTCCTCCCCATCACCACTTAGACTTTGCAGATTCATCAGCTTCATCACCCTCATCGGCCTATCTGTCTCAGCAGCCACCACCATCACCACCACCAGTGTCTGGACTCCATGGGGAGATTTATCTTGCTGCTGCTCCGGGCAGACGTCCCTCGATTATCTCCCTGTAGAGTCTAAGCGCCAAAGTCATTCTGTCAAATCATCATTGCATATCATCTGTTAATCCGTACACCTATAATCTGTATGACACAATTACCTTTACCTCATTCACCTGTCTCTCCTGATTGTTATATCAGTCTGTCAGTGCTGTTTGTGTTTTCAAACTCACACCTTCAGACTTTCAGGTTTTCCTTTGTTTAACTCTATTTTTCAGTCATGTTTCGTGTTTCCTGTTTCATTTTCTTACATCTCCTCTCACATTAGATCACTTCACTTCCTGCCCTTGGGTTTTACCACCAGTTGTGATTGTGTGCCCCGCCCTGATTAGTTTCACCTGTCCCTCACTGGTCCTGCAGTCTACTCACCTGTTCCCGCCTCCCCAATTCGTGCCTCCCTACTTGCCTGGTTCCTTTGTTCTTTGTCAGTTTGACTTCATTTTAGGTTTAGAGTCCTGTTACCAGCTTTCCTCTGCCTGCCTGATTTTTGGACTGTGAGCTTTTTTTTTAAATAAATGTTTGAACTCATCCAGCTGCCTCTTTTGTTGTCTGCATTGGGTCCAAGCCTGCTACCTGCTCTCCAGGACCGTGACATTACACGGTTTCTTTTTGTCTTCAACGTGCAGGTTTAGTGACCGCAAAAAAAAGCAGCATAATCCTTTTATGAATTCGCCCGACAGTGGCCTTTTTAGGAGGCACACATGTAAGATCTAATGTAACCCAAATGACAGCTCAGCCATAAATTCTACCTCTAATAATAATAATATTATACCTATAATAATACCTCTCTAATAATATTAATGTTCAATTTTGATTGATTCTGTCAGAGTGGTATTCATAGGAGCCCTGCCAGGGAGTTTGGGCCCATAAAAAGATATCACACTGGACCCCACCACCACCACAGGTGACACGAACCCTGCTCAGCTGCTGTGACATTCACCTCCAGAACCTAATCAACCCATCAAAGACAGTGACATACTCATACTTTGTTCTTCTATTCCATTACATTTTAGGGGGGAAATACTGTACTTTTTACTCCACATTTATTTGATACTAATAGTAACTGGTGACTTTTAAAATGAAAACACTTACTTGTAATGACATATTTTAAGACTCAAGGCTTTCTACTTTTACTTGAGTGAAAAATCTGAGGACTTCTTCCATCATCATAATCAAAATTTTAATTACTATTAACTGACATGTCACTCGACACAATACTGCTCACTTCCTGCTTCAGTTGAGAGTCGGGCTGGTTCATTAACAGTGGAAAGGCTGCTGAGGAGTTCAAGGCTGCATCTGTACTTTGGCCCGGTACCAGGAGGGGCGGGGACGACTGATTTAGTATGAATATCTTGAGAAATGTTTGCTTGTATTGATTAAATGAAAAAGATGCTGCAAAATGCAGTTGGGAAAAAAATCCTCGGGCTTTCTACCAGAGAAGCATCTCATGGTTAAGGTTCGGAAAAAAAGTTGTAGTTTGGGATAAAATTAACGGATTTCTGTCAGAACTGGCTTTTTGATGGCTTTAACAACAAATGCAGGTGGTTACATTTCACCAACACAAGCATGTGGTTGGGTTTAGGAAGAATGAACAGGGTCTGGCTTTACAATCATACAGGAAGTGAATACCTGCCTTCTGGGTGAAAGTCAGTGGTTGTTGCACCAGTCCACCAACACTCCCACCTGCCCTACTCAGAGTTTGGCCCCCTTGACTTACATTGTCCTCTGGCCACATTTCCCCCTGATGCCGCCAGACAATGTTAAACGCCGACATGAAACAATGGCTTTTTTCGTTGGTGTCTGACGCCGGAGGTCACCGCCTAAGTGTCGGGATTCAGTGACTTTGGAGTGAGACTGGGTTGCTACATACGGTGCTGCTGGGTATTCATTTACCTGTGTGTATGATTGAGACTATAGTGGTGTTGTACGTGACTGAATTATATTGAGATGTGTTTAGTGACACATTAGTAATAAGAATGTATTGGAGTAACACCTCTGTGACAGTGTCAACAAAAACTGAACGTTAGACCTCCTGAATGTGGACTTTGTGGATGGGATTAAATTGTATGGGTCTTTCAAAAAAATGGGCAAAGGATGTAAGTTAAAGCAGGACGTTAATGGAGATAAAAATAAATATTATTACACTTTACCAATGTGTTTTTTTTCTTAGCTCAGGAATGTTTCAGTTCACCACTGAGATCCATCAGCAGACAACGGAAATCATCTTTATCTGAACACACACTTCTGGACAGAAGTCTGAGGGTAACCACGGAGTTCAGAATCACCATATAATAATAAAACATCTCTACACCTTTAAATTGCCTCACTTACACTATTTCCTCTCTGAAGTGGTATCTCATCCCATTTCCTCCCGCATGTGAAATTTGTTATAGATTATAATTATTTCTGTGTTATGAGGGCAGCATACGAGATGCGTTATACTATTCAGCAGGGCGGCAAGAAAAATGTAATTTTACTCACCATCAGTAACCCGTAGCCTTAATAGCCATCTTTCCATCATGTGGAGAGGATTTAAAAAGAGTTCTTCACAGAAACAGAGTAAAGAGGCCACACCTGACAAACTTTACAGCCGGCTGGATCAGCTTGTGTTTTAGAGACAAGTAGTGTGTCGCTCAGAAATGCTAACAGGTAATGCATAAACTGTTCTTGACTTAATGTTGAGGGGATTGTCTCATAATATTCCTATAAGCATGTGCAACATACTGTAGTGTTGAGTATAGTCGGTCTGAACTCAGCTATGTTTCCTGTGAGCTGCCTGCTTCACTAACTGTAATTTATGTTTTATTCTTAATATCTTCAGTATATCTATTCTGCTATTAAAGCTGTGTTTTCAGGTCCAGTACCTTTGTGTCTTGCAAAGTAGCGCCCCAAGATAATGAGTAGACAGAGCATGGCGAAGACGACCACGGCCACCACTCCTCCGATCACTGCATGGTCCACCGTTCTGGGTGCTCCTTCTCCAGCTCGTGAATCTGTAAGAGAGAAAAGAAAAAAGAGGAACTCAATATGGAAAGACAACAACAGTACTCAGTGTTACATTGTGGGAAGAAAAGTCAGCCACCACGTGCCTCCTGGGATGTCTGACAGTTAGATGAGACAGAGATGTGGGAGGTGTAGGTTGAGTTCTTGATCTTGTGTTCCTTTTATTGCCTTAGATTTAAAATAATACCGGCGTTTTACACTGCAATATGTCTTCTTTTGGTTCTGTTTGTTTCCAGTTACTTCCCCTGAGACCAGTTTGGCTTCTCTTTTTTTTAATCTGGTTGACATTTTAATATCCACTCTGCAAAATTGCCACAACGATAACAGTTTGGATTGCAATCAGGAATTGATTAAAGTGAGCGGGATAATAATAACCATGTTCCTGCCGGACTATGAGAAATCACTCAGGGACAGATTTAGCAAGAAAACTGTGCAAACGTGCGCTGCGGTTTTCATCCAGTTTGCGGCGGCAATTGGTGTGTATCCAGCACCTGATTTACTGAGGCAGCAGCTCATTATAGAGTCAGCTCCTGGTGCTGCCCTCCAGACGCACTCTGCAAGTGAAGGAGAGCTCATTACTATTACACTGAATATTACTCATAAAATTATGATATTATAATCTTGCTCTATTAATTAATAATAGCCTAATTTCTTCAAATCTGTTTCTAATAATCACTTTTTGGTTATATATACTGTGCAGCAAGGTGGTGCAGTGGTTGGGGTTCACTCTGACTGTGTGTTCTCCCTGTGCCTGCGTTGATTTCCTCCCACAGTCCGATGTATGTCATGTATGTTAGTGATGGCTCTAAACTGTCCATAGGTGTGAAGGGTTGTCTTTCTTAGTGTGAGCCCTTTGATTGACTGGACAGCCTGTCTCGAGTGGATCCTGCCTTTCGCCCAATATCAGCTGGGATTGGCTCCAACACCCCCCTTGACCCTCAAGGATAAGCTGGTATGGCTAATGGACGGACCATCCATCCATCCATCTATATTTAATGCACGTTTCTTTCCACTCTACAGTCTTCCTTGTGGCTCTTGTAAATCCCTCCACGCTATGTTTACGCCTCCTTTTTCTCCGCAAAACTGACAGTTGCAAGTGACCTCAATTCAGTGGAATACGTTCCATCAGTCAACCTCTAATTATTTGCACAATCCTACTTTAAATGCATATGCAATGAGAAGGCACTCATCAAGAATCAAATGACAAGCAAAGTGTGACTCCCAGCTAAATAAATACAGCACATGTCTGGGGCAGAAACCCATAACGCCATGTAGCAACTGTGATGTCATCAATTGGTTTTTGGACTCTCGTTTTCAGTTTCAGTTCAGCATTACAGCCATCGCCATCTTGGTTTTTTGAAGCAAGGAGTGACCAAATTTGGATGAGAGGGTGAAGCTGTTAACAGGTTTATTTCTGCTGCACAGTCAGGCATTCAACATGGGGGTCTATGGGGATTGACTTGCTTTTGGAGCCAGCCTCAAGAGGCCATTTAAAGAACTGCAGTTTTTGCCATTTCCGCATTGGCTTCATTTTTCTACACCACAGATTGCTGCTTGCAGAATGCGCAACACATTCTCATCCCAGGTCATCAAATACCAACACGTTCTTACACCTTGCTGTGTGATGCTAATGCCAAAGGAACCCTTTAAAGCCTTTAAAAAATGCACCCTTTAGCGCCTGTACACATGCACGAACAGCTGTCTACCGGATCAAACATGTTATAAGACATGGTTAACGTTGTCAAACAGTCACGGTTTAGTTTAGGCAAGAAACCTAATTAGTTAGGGTTAGATAGAACATCATGTTTCGGGGCAGCTGTGGCTCAGAGTTAGAGTGGGTCGTCATTGGAAGGTCAGCGGTTCCATCCCATGCTCCTCCAGTCTGCATGTTGAAGTGTCCTTGAGCAATGTACTGAGCCTTATTCTGTCCTTTCACCTCATTTTGAATGTCCGATAGTCCACTGCTAACATTGTCTTCCAGTCTTGTCTCATCATCACAAATAAAACACAGATTTCATCATAGTTTTTATTATTTAGATCTAATCTTCGCTCTTCAACGTCTCATCTTCGTCATTGAAAAAAAGGGTCACTGATGAATGATTTTCGTCATAGTTTTTGTTAATGAAATTAACACTGATTGACTAACATTAAGTTACAACAGCAGTGACTTTTGGTTTCTCACAGGACACAAACAGCAGGCTCCTGGGTGAAAGTATGTATTTGTTTGACCCACCCACCCCTCACCCCTCACTCCCACCCCATGCCGGCTTTCTCGCTCTTTATCCTACGTCACTTGCTCTGAATGTCAAATATTGCTGCAGATGGGTTTCATTAGAGTTAGCTGGAAGCCCAGTGCTACTCAAAAAAGGCGCAAAAGGGTGCCCTTGGTATTGTGTCATACACTAAGGGGCCTGACAAGGTGTCAGTATTTCACAACATGGGAATGAGAAAGGGCTGGAATACTTAATATCTGAGTAAAGTCTTAGTAAATCTGTCCTTCAGTATTTTACCCTAACAATGTATTTCTTGCATCAGTTTAATGCTGAGAACATTTTAGAGTACATCTCAAGGAGAAACTTTAATGTGCAGAAAACAAAATATTCACAAATTACTCACGGAGTGGGAAAAGTTGACAATGTTTTTAAGCATTAAGTTTTAAAAAGTGCCTGTAAGTGAACAACAAGCCTTTATGGCTCCTGGCTGTAATGCTATGTGAAAGCTATTGATCAGGTGTCGGGATCCATGACAACCCAGAGTTAATATCTGTTTGTGGATGAGATTAGTCCTTCACAGCACTTAGGAGAAGCACTTTTTTTTATCAATACCCCTGCACTATATAGTAAAGTGGATGGAGGTGGTAGAGAGAAGATGACTTATATGGCGAAGTGTTGCTGAGATGTAACCTGGAATTAATTTGCCATTCACATAACACTTTGGCATCTAATATAATGTATACATTACTAATGCATTTTTGTGCTTTTAGCTTATTAAGATACCATTACGCCAAACACTTAACCTTCACTTCTGAGCTAATGCCTTTTTTAAAGACAAGAAAATAGGGAATGCCAGAGAAAGTAAAGCCAGGACACTGAACAACAACCAGTCTTTGGCAATCAGTGCACGTGGAGGAAACCATCAGCCCCCACCATCCATTAGCTGTAGCAACTCACTAAAACCCCTCCACACGCTCCTCCAGCCTCGTTCTGCACTCAAGGGATTTGCTGAGTGAGCTCCAGGAAAAAGAAGCAGCAGGCCACAATTTATTAACGAATAACAGAAACAGAGAGAGAAACATCATGGATTACATCAGCTGCCGCCCACCTCTACACCCCATGCCTTAGCCAACCTGCGGGAATAAAAGAGGGAGGTGGAGGAGGCAGAGCAGTGCTACCTGTCAAACTCAACAAAACATTACCTGATAGATCTAATAGGTTATTTTGACTTCAGATTTTCTTTTTTAGTGCTGGGCAGATTCAATTAAACTGAGCAGGAATCCCTCTGACATCCAATTCGCTCTTGTCAGACTGCTAAAGCTGTGCTTTAACACACTTTCCTATTACGATGTTAATGTGGACTTTGGCTTTGGGGGAAGCGGGCGAGTGTGTGTGTGTGTGGTGTGTGCGGCGTGGTCAGGGTGGTGGAGGTGGCTCGAACGGCTGCAGAAAATAATTCTCGGTTGTCTATGTCAAACGTTCCTGGATTAAATTCATTTAAGAGGGAGGGGAGAAGAGAACATCAAAGTCTCCACAACGAGTCCACACGTCTACATCATATCGTATGTTACTTCATGCCATAATAAGCTCTGTCGTGTGGATTAACCTGTGTAAACAAGACTGGCCCTTTAGAGCCGTACCTGTAATGGGGCTAGTCTGGCGTGTTGGTGGTGCTAGAGGGAAGGTTCTGGGGTCACCAAAATGTCCTCTCAGTCTGAAGGAGCATGAAAATCCACAGCAAACCGCATGGAAATCATTTTTCCACAGAGGTTCCTTTAAGGTTAGAAACCCTTGAGTTTGACATCTTGTTCCAGCTCTTCATTGAAGTTATATGATGCTTACACTAAGAGAAATATTCCAACCCCAGAGTTCTTTTTTTATATAACCATTCCATCAAAAAGAAATATTGTACATGTCTTATGCATCATTTAATATCCCATTTCACATTAATTCAGACATATTTGTCATCTTTGGAAACTTTGGGATCTCCGCTAGAATTTAAAATAAAGATCTGTGCATTTGAAGAGGTTGATTTTCAAAATACTTGACAAGGTGCCATGTTTTTTAGGAATAGCTTTGACATGAGGGTGGAGGGAGACAAAAAGGGTCAACAAAATCCACAGAAACCATCTTCTGTGGACCACGAATATCAATCATTTCATGGCTACCTGGTGACCAGTAAGGAATGTCAAACCAAATGATTGATCGCACAGTGGCTGAAGAAATAGCCTACGGAAGTTGCAATTTAAGAGATGCAACATGGGTCTTATTTTTGTAGCTTTGGTCATCATTCTTATGGGGCCAGAAGGACACGTTACTCATTTAGAAATCAAACACTCTCTATTACACAGATTAAAGAAAATAGAAATAAAACTTGCAGTTTAAATGGACTGATTTTCTGACTCTGGGTCAGTCTGAGTCAGCTCTATGGGCCCCTTGATGTGGAAGATCTGGGTATTTTTAAACCCCACAAATGGAGCATTTTTTGGGCCTCATGTACCACTGAGCGACTTTCATAGCACTGAATGGGCCTCGCTTCCAAAGCTGAAACCAGGTCTCTTAATACACCCATGATCCGTCAAAGCAGTGCTTGAACATCAGTCACAATTGAAAAAGTAAGAGATATTAAATAAGAAGTAACCACGGTGTACACAGCTGTGGTCTACTTACAATGGGAAAGCACTCTGTGGCCTTTTTAAAACTGGTTTTCTCATGTTTAACAAAACCTGGATACACATGCTAATTTTGGTCGAAAAAGGTTAAAAGTTAACAGCTGA